CACGTGGTGTGGTGATCAAGAGCACAATCTGGAATCAGGCTTTGGTTCAAATTCCACATCCATCCCTATCTAATTCTGTAACTTTGAGAAAGTGCTTTGTTACTTGAGACCTCAGTTTCTCTATGCATAAAACAAGAGTAGCAATTTCTGCCCCAGCTGCGTTGTTTAGAAAAGCAGAGTGGGCAGTGTGTGGTAAGCACAGTGCTTAGCATCTACTAAGCCCTGATAAGCACTAGCTGTTGCTTCAATATCCTCTTCAGCACTGATCATAGTGCAGAGCGCTGCACAGCAAGCAAGGCTCAATAAATTTTCAACATCAGTAGATGTTTATGCTTTCCACCCTGAGCTAAATGTCCAGCATTAAAGTGGCATAGGGCAAGTCTCTATCTCAGACAATTTATCCTCACATGTCTCCAGCACTCTACTAGAGACAATGCCTAGTACACAATTGACACCCAAAAAGTGCCTGTAGAATCTAGTTGTGTAGATGACTTGTGTTCACATGACTCTGATGAAAAAATATATAACTGCAAATAGAAAATATATATGATTATGATTTTTTAAATCAAAACAAAGAGAACTTATTTTTTTCAGTAGTATTATGTATTCAATCCAAAGCCTTCACACTGAGCTATATTCCCAACCACTTTGTTTTGTTTTGTCGAGATAGGGTCTTATGAAGTTGCTCAAGGTGGCCTGGAATTCATGATCCTCCTGCATCAGCCTCCCAAGTAGTTGGGATTACAGTTCTGCACCACTATGCCGAGCCTATATATTTGACCTGTGCTCTTCACTGTATCGAAAGCTTGAAACATCTGTGGGAATGCATTAATATCCCCATTTTGCAGAGGAAAAACCTAGGATGAGGGGGCAAAATGACATATGCCAGGTCACAAAGGCGGTGGAAGAGAGCTCAGCAGGCTATAAGTTCAGGACTATTTCTATTTCAAGGGCACATTCATTGGCTTGATGACCAGGGGGAAATCTCCATCCCCCTCCCCAGCCCCCACAGCACATACTGCACTTCCAAATCCAAGAGGAAAGCACACATGTGAAAAGTCAGCATGTGTCCCAGAAAGGCCACAAAACTGCAAGCCACCTCAGAGTGGTGAGGGAAAGAAAAAAGCAATTGAACAAGCCCCAGAGGCACACAAACACAAGTAACCGCAGCTTGGGATCCATATCTAAGGCCTAGATTTTAATTTACAAACACAGAGATATAAAGTTTGTAAGTGCCTAGTTTTGCTTTTACTGGAAAAAAATAAGATATCAGATCTCACCTTTACCACTACTAAGCAGCCTCAGGGATAAAGTCCAAAAGTGAAAATAAAGTCACCTAAAACACTCTCACTGGGACTTCTCCAGAAGCCATTTATGCAGGCTCAGCTGTGAAGGTTTATGAGGAAATCAGGCTGACACCTGGAAACATCACCACTTGGATAAAAGGCAAAAGATACTTAAGTATGAGTGGCTCCTAAAATTGAAAAGCTAATTAAACTTAGCCTCTTTAAAAAAAAAAAAAAAAAAGTAAAGTAAAAAAGACAAAAGCCAGCAAGAAAAATTTATTCTTACTTCTGAGCATGATTTAAAAAAAAAAAGTGAGAATAAAGAGGAGCCACTTGGGTTCATCACTTTAAAAACTTACAAGTCATTTGATTTTTTTCTCAGTTAATATTCATCAGAAATCAACTATGGCCGGGGATTTAGCTCGGTGGAGCCATGCCTGCCTGGCAAGCACAAGGTCCTAAGTTCGATCCCTGGTACCAGGAAAAAAAAGAAGAAACCAACTATGGTCCTTACTGTGCATTCTTTTTGTTTGTTTTTTGGTTTTGTTTTTGTTTTTTTTGATGCCGGGGATTGAACTTGGGTCCTTGCGCAGCAGGCGGCAAAACCACTGAGCTAAATCCCCGGCCCAACTGTGAATGTGCTTTTTTTTTTTTTTGGTACTGGGGATCAAACTCTGGACCTTGCACTTCTGAGGCAGGCACCGGAACCACTACTGGGCATTGTTTTTCCTTTGTATTTCTTTCTATGTAGACAGAGCACTGTCCAAATTAGTATTAGTGCTACAGGAATCTGAGTTAAAATTATTAAAACCATCTTTCTCCCATCAAGAAACAAAATCTACATTGAGAATGGGCCAGGGATTTAGCTCAGTGGTTCCGCCGCCTGCCTCACAAGCGCAAGGACCCGAGTTCAATCCCTGGTACCAAAAAAAAATGCATACTTAGGGCCAGGGATTTAGCTCAGTGGTTCTACCGCCTGCCTCAAGGTCCCGAGTTCAATACCCAGCACTCAAAAAAAAACTACTTGAAAATATTCCAAAAACCTTTGGTGACCTTGTTTTTAAGTGGTGGTGATTCTGGGGATCAAGACTCCAAGTATGCTAGGCAAGTGCTCTACTACTGAGCTATATCCCCAGGCCTACAGAGGTGGTGTTTTTTTAGTACTCTGACTGAATTCAGAGCCCTTCCTATGATAGACAAGTGCTCTAGTGCTGAGTTGCATCCCCTGCCCTTGCCAAAAGTCTTTCCCTCAGCCTTTTCTTGAAGAAGTGACCTCAGCCCTGATCCACATGGTCAAGGCCAAGGATGAGCCATATTTGCACAACTTTTCACCCTCCTGTTCAAGCTTGACATATAGAAGGCCAACAAAGGTACCTTCTAGAGAATTCAGAGAGAAAAGGCCTAAGAAGACAATCTTTTTGTTGGCCAGAACGCTGTATAATATGTACATTTGGACAGTGGAGACCCACATTCCACCATGTACCCTGGAGAGCAGAGAAAAATGGATGGGAAAAATTGAAAATGAAACAGACACAAAGATTCAGTTACAGAACAGAGCTGAAGAAGGTATGCCACAGGGGTGTTTGCCAGTTTCTGGCTCCTGGGGCAGACCTTTCTGAAGCCTGCCACCATCACCACCTTTATACCCTTACGTTGAGCTGGCCTCCAGTGGTTTGCTACTTGGAACTAAAGTACCCTAATAAGTACAACCTAAGTAAGAATATAACACAAATTTGTCTAGTACACAGAGCATTTGTGAAGTTCACAGTGCTTAGAATGTAGGCACTTTTGATTCATGAGGGCTACACAAAAGAGTAGCAAGAAGTAAGTCTTACTGTCAAAAGGGGTAGCTTTGAGTCCAGACTACGTTTTATTAGTTCTATAACCTTCAGTAAATCCATTTAGCCCACAAAGCACTGTGCCTAGCATAAAGCAAGTACTGAACAATTTGTAAGAAGGGAAACGAGTAAGCAGTTACTGACATATTGGTTGTACTTATCTCTTCAAGTAATTTTTCATTTAAAAAAAATGGGAATAAAGTGGACCTTTTGCATCTCATGAGATTAAAATACACAACCACAGTATGATTCAAAGTAATTAACAGGTTCAGGCTGGTCAGCAGATCAAATACAGACCCATTTGGGTTAACTGAACAATGTTGGTTTATCTAAAGCAGGGGTTGGCAAACTATAGTCCACAGGCCAAATCCAGTTCACCCTATGTTTTTATATGGCCCACAAGGTAAGAATAGTATTTACAAATGAATATTTGCAAATATTTGATTACAGGGACCACTAATTTTGAACCCTCATTCAGCTAAATGTCATCCCTCCCAAAATGGAAATTCCATTCTTCTGATTAATAGACCTATTGTGAAAAATCATATTCTTATTATTATATTTTAGTAGTTCAGGATTTATAGGATGCAGAAGTCATCAACTCAGACAGGGACAAGAAAATGACATTATTTTTGAGAGTGGAATTTTGCTGAACATAGAGGTTTTTATAAATGTATATAAATGTGATATAGAAGAAAAAAAAAGAAATAATGTTTCAGTGTGTTAAGGTGACATCAGATCTTCTATAAGTCTAGCCACTTCCTTCAAGCCCAGGCTGAAAGAGGCTGCACCAGTCTGGATATGCACCAGGAACCACCTCAAATGGCCAAGTGCACATCATCAACCCCAATGGTGTCTGTGGCACATGGAGCAGTGTCAAGTACTCATTCAGCACTCTTAGCACCCCTAGACTAATGCCTCCTGCTCCAGGTTCATTGTTGAACCTAAACTTGCAAAAATACAAAGAAGAGTCAATTACCCAGAAATCTCTGGTTTCTGTAACAGTTCAGAGCAACCATTAGCTTTATCCACAAAATAAAGTGAGGTAACATATGCGTATGTGCTCTGAAATAAGTATGATTATCATCACAATTAACGATAACAATAAAACTTTTGGAATCCCTGTCTAAAATCAACACAGCCATAACATATGAAGATGCATACAATAATAAATTCTGTCCTAAAGAAGTTTTTAAAAGAACACTATGAAGGCCAGAAAAATAGTATCTACACATTCATGTGTATTACCATATAAAACAGGTAAAAAAAAAAAACTACTTAAAACAGAGCACACAGGACCTTAAAACTCCTGTGTGGTCTCTGAAACACCTTCATGGAAGCCTGAGTTCCCTCAAGCACACAGATTACAAGATACAAGGATGGACACTTTAGATTCCTGGTTTCCATATTTTCCTCATCCATAATATAGACAATAATAGCTATTTCAAGGGTTTGTGAGAATCAAATGAGATAATAAATAAAAAATTCTTACAACAGTCAGTGGCACATAGTGCTCAATAAATACTAGTTATTATTATAATTTTTATTAAATAGTTGCCATTGTATTATATATACTATAAATATTTTTTCTGATTATTTCTCTTCATTAGACTATAAATATTCTCCATAATATCACATTCTTCATTGGCATATTTTTAATTTAATGGGCCTGAATCAGTACTTTAGTTTGACTTTGACTAGGATTTATATAATAATTATTAAGAGTAATTATTTTTGTTATACTTCTTTATTAACAGTATTTTTTCTCATTATATATGTTCATGACTTTTTCTTTCATTATGTTTTATTCAATACCCTTTTGGACTCCCCATGGTTTCTTAAAATTAATATTGGTTCAAAGTGGAAACAAGCTTACCTTCTGGGCTCCCTGTCTTAAGAATGTGCTGGCAAAAGTTTCCAAAATATAGTTGAGAAATCCAGCCCCTGTGATTGAAATCCTGCCTCTTTGAATGAACTCTGTCCTAAAAGAAAATGAACAAAAATGTATCTTTGATGTCACTCTATATTTGGATATGTAAATTTCAGACATTTCAGCAGCATAATTACCACTTATAATCAACACAAAATAATACCCAAAATAATTGAATAACTGCCTGTTGCAATAAGATTTTGTTTCAAGTTGACTTAGTTCAGGTAAATAACAGAAACTCAAATTAAAATTTTTTCACTTCATGCTGCAAAATGCCTATTTAAAAACTGAGTCTGAGACAATTAGCAGTAGGACCTTGGGTAAATTGTACAAATTCCCTATAACTCAGTTTTCTCACAAGTAAAATGAGCACAATCATAGTATCTTCCTTTTACAACTATTGAGATGCGTAACAGGGATGTGAAGGGTGACAAATATAAGCATTTACTAAATGTTACCCACAATTACTAAAGAGAGACAGACAGAGACTACAAAGCCAGAAGTCTAGAAGAACTTCTTTAACCCTCCACTGGAGGGGGCAGGTGACAGAGAATAGATCTGCAGCCATCTCTACTGATTTTAATTATCAGAAGTTCCACCAATATGATCTCATAAAACAGTTGTGGACTAAATGTGAGAGTGACATAAGTAAGATGGCTCAGCAAGACACTCCAAGCCCTCATTCCCCATAGAGACACTGACTTAACAATAATATACAAACCAAACTGGTTTTTTTGAGAACTCCAGAAACCAATAAAGAGGTGGCTGCATGTCAGGTGAGTGTAAAGCCAAGAAGAGTCACATCAAAGTAGACAACAAAGTTCATTCTATTCATCTGTAACAGCCGCTTCCCACGCAGCATAAGTATAATCAGGATAAAGCTACCAACCCTTGGCTTCTGCCTCAGGAGGAAAAGGGAAGAGCTAAACATGCATCCAACACCCTGGCTTTACAAAGCATTGTCTAAGAGCATGACTCTGGGCACTGAAGGGAACAGCAGTACACTTTGGATATCCAGTGGCCACAGAGAACAGAAACAGATGTGGCCACTTGTTATGGCAATTGAAAGTCGATAGTACCACAGACAGACCCAAAGGGAACAAGCAATCATGGGCTCCTGAAAATTGGGGCAGACTGCTTTGGCTGGGATATCACATATACAAACCCAGAAAAAGTATTTCTCTGAAAAGGTTTGAGAGGGCCCCAGACTCTGGCAAGCCTGATTGATGAAGGTCTTCTCTTGTACAAAGCCAATTTATAAAGTCTAGGAGATGTGGCTATTATTTTGATATGACCAAATCACAACAAAATATCACAATGTATATAATGAAGCAAGGAAACATGGCCTAATCAAACAACCAAATAATCTCTAGATTCTAGAGTCTAGAAATTGATCCCAAAGAAACAGAGATCTAAGAATTACCTCACAAATAATTTCATATAATCATCTTAAGGAATGCTCAATGAGCTAAAAGACATTACAGATATGCAATTAAATCAAATCAGGAAAATGATGCATGATCAAAATTAGAATATCAACAAAGGAACTTTTTTTAAAAACAAATGTTCAGGAGTTAGTTGAAGAATACAAGAATTGAAAAACTCTCTAGAGTGTTCTGACAGCAAACTTGATCAAGCACAAGAAAAAATCAGCAAACTAAAAGATAGGTCATTGGAAATCACTGAGTCATGGGGGGAAAAGGAATGAAGAAAAGTGACAAAAACCTAATAGATTTAGGGGATATCAGCAATAGATTAAATGCATACATTAGGGGTCAGAAGGAGAAATGAATGAGAATGGGACCATGAACCTATATGAAGAGATAGTCAAGTGAAATAAATAGGACACACATGTAAATACAAAACAATTTCTCCGGTATGAGAAACTGAAAGTGCAAATAGGATTAAAATGAAGAATTGAAAATGTGAAATAGGAAGAAAAGGTCCAAAGGGATGGGGAAGTAGGAGGGGTAGGGCAAAGGAATGAAGAGAAAGGAAAAAATATGAGAAAAGAAAAAAATGGAAACAAAGGCTTTGCAAATAGGGAGGGATGGAAGGGATGAAGGGAGGGCAGGGGTATGGGGGAAAAAATAAGAACCAAGATATATCATGTAAAGGTACAAGTTCCCAATGATGAATGTAAATGTATTGTATACCTAAAATGTACCAATAAAAGAATTTAAGAGGAAAAAAAAAGAGATAACAGCCAAAATTTCCCAAATTTGAAGAGGAAAATGGACATACAAATTTAAAAGCACAACAAACTTCAATGAGAATATATCCAAAAAGCTCCACATTAAGACACATTACAATTGGGAACACCATACCACTGCCCCCAGTGCCGAGGAGCAGAGCCCCCCAACCCAGCACTGAGGAGGTGGCACCACCATACCACCAGCCCCAGCACAGAGGACCAGAGCCCCCTTACCCAGTGCTGAGGAGGTGAGCCTCAAAGGCGCCAGCAAAAAAACACCCCCCACCCCACCCCACCCCATCGAAATGAGAAGACACTTAAACAAGTCTCAAAACCAGACTTCCAGATCACTAAGGCAACCCCAAAGGGAAACAAGATGGAACAATGTGATATTTAACCACCTGGATTCCATGAACTGACAACAAAAGAGGATCTGGAAAAAATTAATCAGAAATAATTTCTCAAATAACAGCAGAGATTGTGCCCATAGTGTAAGACATGATTAATAAATCTAGAGTGAACACAGATTAAAAAAAAATTGAGGAGTCAAAGAATATGATGGAATCCCAACATAAGAAACAAATGGAATCCATAAAACAAATGCAACCAGATTTCCAGATTAAAAACTCCATTGAAAGTTTACACAGCAGAATGAGCCAATGTGCGGATACAATTTCAGATACAGAAGATAAGATTGTAATGAGTGACCAGGAAAAGAAAAATTACTTTAAAATAGTAAGGGACCACAAGAAATCAATCCAGCAGCTGCTAGATGATGCAAAGAAGAATAACGTAAGACTGATCAGAGTCAATGAAGAAACAGGAGAGAGTGCAGATGATGTAAAAAAAACTGTTCACAATAGTGATGGCAGAAAACTTCCCAAGCAGGAGAAAAGAACTTGACATACAGATAAGTGAGGGATATAGGATTCCAACTAGCCTTAATCAAAAAAAAAAAAATCTATACATAGGCATATAATTGTTAAGATTCCAGAAACCCAGCAGGAAAACAAATTTCTACAAGCAGTTAGAGAAAAGAAACAAATCACATACAAAGGAAACCCCATCAGAATCACACCAGACTTCCCAAAGCAAACCTTCAAGGCAAGAAGAGCTTGGAGTGACCTATTTCAAGCCCTAAAGGAAAACAGCCTCCAGTCCAGATTGATGTACCCTGCAAAAAAACTATCTTTCAAAATTGATGGAGAAATAAGATACTTTCATGACAAAGGACACCTTAGGAACTTCATGAATACCAAGCCAGCACTCCAAAAAATTTTAGACAAAACCCTAGGAAAAGACAATGAGGATCACAACCCCAGGAATCCTAGCAGAATGAATCCACCACACACAACAAGAAATTAAATGCAAAGGGGGAGAATCCAACAAAAACAAAAAGTCATGACAAGGATAAGTCAATACATATCACTTATAGCCATCAATGTTAATGGTCTCAATTCACCAATCAAAAGAAATAGACTGGCAGAATGGGTCAAGAAACAAAATCCAACAATATGCTGCATACAAGAAACACACTTAATTCAAAGAGAAACTCATAGACTGAGAGTTAAAGGGTGGAAAACAATACTCCATGCCACAAGAACCTGAAAAAAAGCAGAAGTAGCTATCCACTTTGCAGATCAAGTGGATTTCAAACCAACACTGATTAAGAGAGACAAAGAAGGACACTACATCCTTGTAAAGGGAACAATCCAACAGGAAGAGATGACTATTATAAATATATATGCACCAAACACTAGTGCACCCAACAATATAAAATAAATACTAATGGACATGAAAAGTCATATATGCACTAATACAATAGTACTGGGGGACCTCAATACCCCACTGTCACAAACAGAGAGATCAACTAGACAAAAAATAAACAACAAAATACTAGAATTCACTCAAACTCCTGAACAAATGAACTTAACAGATGTTTACAGTGTTCCACCCCACAAAATCAGAATACACATTCTTCTCAGCTGCACACGGGTTCTTCTCCAAAATAGACCACATGCTCACTCATAGAACATATTTAGGTAAGTGCAAAGGAATTGAAGTTATCCCCTGTATATTATCAGACCATAGTGCAATGAAATTGGAGATCAATAGCAAAAGAAACTGCAAAAACTTCATAAACACATGGAAATTGAACAACACACTTCTGAATAACCAATGGGTCACAGAGGAAATTAAAGAAGAAATCAGACAGTTCTTCAATTAAATGACAATGACAATACAATGTATCAGAATCTATGGGACACAATGAAAGAAATCTTATGAGGGAAATTTATAGCAGTGAATACACATATTTGGAAAACAGAGTGAGCCCAATTAAACAATCTGATGCTGAACCTCCAGCTTGTAGAAAAAGAAGACCAGGAGAAACTCAAAGCTCATACAAGGGAGGAAATTATAAAGATCAGAGCAGAAATCAATGCAATGGACATTAACAGAATGATACAAAAAATCAGTGAAGCCAAGAGTTGGTTCTTTGAAAGAATGAACAAAATTGACAAACCCTTAGCCAACTTTATCAGAAAAAGGAAAGAAAAGGCCCAAATCCATGCGATTAGGAATGAAAAGGGTGAAATTGCAACAGACCCGGCAGAAATCCAGAGGATCATCAATACCTACTTCAAGAACCTATACACTAATAAAATGGACAACACAGAAGAAATGGACAGATTCCTAGATAAGTATGAATTACCAAAGTTGAATGAAGAAGACCTAAAAGTTCTAAATGACCCAGTATCATCAATGAAATTGAAAACATAATTAAAAACTTACCAACAAAAAAAAGCCCAGGTCCTGATGGCTTCACTGCTGAATTCTACAAGACATTTAGAGAGGAA